TCTCGACAACTCATACAGTTCTTTAAAGTTGAATAAGTAAACTATTTTGTGCAATGTAAGTCGCTGTATGACTCATATGCTTGCGAATTTGTTCAATGAATCAACGTCGCTTCAATGAATGAAATCCAGTAGGTGGGAAATCCACAGTAGGTATGAACTCGGAATGGAACTGCCTGTGAAAAAATTTCCATGTTGTCTTTTATCATACTTGCCACGTAGCACTATCCACTGACCCAACAATATGATGTTCCATATCGGCTAGAGGCTCACATTCAGATCGACGAGATGAAGAGCACGACCTCTGAAGCCTACAGATTGAGGATTCCGTTTCTTAGTGCCGCCGTCACACATGAATAAATTGACGGCCACTTGTAAACTTGATGTTATATTCGTTTAGTATACCATTAAGGTTGTCACCTCACTTCGGAATTTACTTTCTCTCACCTTCGTTCGTAGAGGATTTCCTCGGAAGAATACATAATTCACAAATATGACAACAGTCACAAGACCACATGTAACCCTACCCAGTCTTACAACAATTCGACTCAACCCCTCGTGACCTGATGACTAAGCAGATATTACTAACATTTCCGACTTTGCTGATCTAAGACATGATGGAGTATAAGCAATAGCAACGACAACCAGATGAACCTTATGTGGTATGAAATATACAATCGAACGAAAAAGCGATGTGCAACATCCTACTGGTAAAGAACTCGCCAATGTCGACATGCCGCACGAACACCGGATGGCAACGGTCCACCTTACTACCGAATAAATCCAGGACATTTGGATCCCTCCGTACGTATCTAATTTGTCGTGACAGCAAATATCTCAACAGAACAAATGGTGACTACTACGTTACAAAACCACAATACTCTTTGTATCTATAGATCATCTCACAGTGTTCCTGGATGTCGGGCTGCGAATTACAGCGGAGAGATTCATCTTCACAGTCAGAAATGCCAAGCTGGGGAGTCCCGCGATCTCATCAGGAAGCGTATCACCTGTATCATCTGTGGTCCCGTTGATCGTCCGGTGACTCGAGCGCGCGCCAGTAAATCTTAAATTTTTCCGTGTCGCGTGCAAGAGTAGCCCAGTGGGTTCTGCTCGCTCTAGGAACTTGTCGAGCATCATCTCTTTCTAAGCTTTTCGTGAAGAACTCTGACCATTGGGTCGGTAGTCTTCCTGCAGTGCGTTTAATATCCCGAGGAATCCAGTCACTAACGGCTCTTGTCTAACGGTTGTCGATCATACGCAACACGTGTTCCACCCACCGTATCTTCGGCTGTTTGGCGCACAGAGCGGGCGTCTTTGATTTTTGATCGTTGACGCAGACCGGAGCTCCGGATCCCATCCCTTGTGTGGAACGGGATACTCCTAGCATCGTCCTTTCGACTGCGCGTTCGATAACGCTGAGTGACCTTTCATCCAGTTTATTGAGCTACCAAGTCTCTGACCCATATGTTAGGGCAGGAAGTGCCGTTGAGTTGAAAAGGTGGGCACGGAGTCGGGTTTTCTTTGTTCTTTTCACCTCGATGCTCTTGAAAGCTCTCCAAGCCGCTCGTTTCCTTCTGCTCAGCTCTAGAGCTAGGTCGTTCATCATATTGATTATCCGACCTAGATAGATATAACTGGAGTATTCGGAGATATTCGTTCCATTGAGCGGGCATACGAAACCAATACGTTTCCCGTGAACATCGTTTTTGTGATATTTAATCGAAGACCAAGCTTTCCACACGCTTTACCAAAGTCTTCAAGCATACGTTCCACCTGGCTAATGTTTGGTGTTATAAGGACAATGTCATCACCAAAGCGAAGATGGTATAACTGCCGACTGTCGATTTTCACTCCCATATTATCCCGTTCCAATGTTGGCATGACGTTCTGGAGGGTGGTGGTAACTAATTTTGGCGAGATGGTATCGCCTTGCCTAACTCCTCTTTTGACGTCAATGTTAATATCGTAGTAGAACGGTGATATCCTAGTTGTGAAATTTTTGTACACCTCACGAACAATCTTTATGTACTGAGAAGGGGCTCCTTAACTATCAAAAGCTTCCAAGACTGCTTCTATCTCAGTTGAGTCAAAGGTCTTCTTTAAATCGATGAAAGTGAGACAGAGCGGTCTTTTGTACTCTCGCTACTCTTCAATGAGCCGTGTTACCCTGTGAATGTGGTCCATCGTACTAAATCCTCTTCGGAACCCTGCTTGCTCACGTGGCTGTCCTCCGTCCAGTGTTCTGTTAATCCTGTTTAGGATAGCTCGAGTGAAAAGTCTGTAGACGACAGACAGTAAGCAAATTGGGAGATAGTTGCCGATATCGTGCAGGTCACCCTTCTTGAACAATAACACGGTCTTCCTGGTCTCCCACTGAGTAGAGACCTTGCATTCAGACAGGTAACGTGTGAAGAGCCGAGCCAGTTCGCGAGGACTGGCGGAAGGTCTTTCAGGTGTTCTGGTCTTATCCTGTCCGGACCTGGTGCTGTTCGATTTTTCACCGACGAAATGGCATGTCGGATTTCGGAAGGAAGAACCGGTGGTACAACATATCCATCCTTCTTTACTTCATATGTCGGAAGGTGGACGTGGCTATGGAAAAGATCCGAGTAGTATTCGTAACTGATTTTCTCCATTGCCTATCTGGATGATGTAACTGCTCCGTCTGGGCGCAATCATCTTGATCTTCTAATTGGCGAGGCTTCGGTGGGCTTTGCGAATGCTTTTCCCAGTCTCTGCAGCTTCGACCAGTACTGCTGCTCCTCTCTCTTTAAGATCTGCTTTTATCGCCTGCCTGCATTGTTTTGCAATTTCTGAAGTTAGTTCCCAGTTGCCTATAGCTCGTTCTATTCCACGCTGGCGTATCAGCTCAAGTGCTTCTGGAGACATCATCTGTTGGTGACTTTCGAACTCTCAGCTTTCATAGTGCTAACGGGAAGATGTTGAATGAGCCGATCGCATTCTTCGTCGATGTTATCGACAGCGGCATCTTTCCAACAGCCAACTAATCAGTTGAATAAGTTCCAATTTATGGTGTTTCTGGTACCTCACCTTTTGAATTTAGCGACTTTTTCTCCTTTCCGCGAGAAATAGAATCTTGCACGAAGGAGGCGATGGTCTCGTACCGTGTAGAATTTTTGAACAACAGCGACATCGGTTAGGCAAAACCTCTTTACTATGATGTGGTCAATTTCGTTATGGTACTCTCCATTGGGAGACTCCCACGTCCAGCGCTGAGGGTGGGGCTTCTGGAATTGCGAGTTACCATGAATTGTCTTGATCGCCATGATAAACTCAGGCAGCCGCTCACCCGGTTCGTTCCATTCTAATCCGTGGATCTCAATGTGACGTTCTTCAGACGTTCTTCGGTCCAATCTCGGCGGTGAAATCTCCAATGATGACCTTGAAAAATGTGTTGTCTTCTCTGTAGAACTTCTCCAAGCCCATATAGAACGCTTCGACTTCTTCTTCGTCATAGCTTGACGTCGGCGCGTAAACGACGAAGCTTGTCAAGGCCGGAATTGATCCACGTCTTCTTAATCGTAAACGTTCGATTTGGGTTGTAAGTTGTTCGAATGGATCGATGCTCGTGGACAAACTCGTGTTGACGAGAACGCCGACGCCGCCGACTCCTTTACTGTCGCATGTTCCGAGGAACAATTCTTCTCCGGTGTCATAGACGGCGTTGAAAGGCTGGCATCTTCTCGTCTCGGCCATGCCGATGACGTCGTACTTTATACTTCTTGCTTCCATGAGCAAATCTTCTATCGAGGACTCGGATGCAAGTGTACGTGCATTGTAGGTACAGGTCGTCACCATAGCTCTTTGAAATCCAGGCAGCTTCCATTGGCCATGAGATTTCAGCAGCCTCTCAGTACTCGTCCTATCCAACGCTGCTAAATTGGGAGCTCTTGCAGGAACAGAGGAATGAGGTCCGCTTCTTTTACTGTTCCTAGCTTTTTGACAACCACGTATAGCTGTCGGGGTTTGAATGTGGGGGCTGGGTACACTCACAAGTAGCTTGCCTGGCTCTCCCAGAGTAGACATGAAGCTTACTTGTTGTAGGCGACTCCTAACCGCCTCCCATATATTTCCCACTCGCTTGATTGCAGGCTTTTGGCCGAATTGACTCGTAGAATACAATCCGCATAAGCAAGAATGCACCCATACCCGCATTCATGAATACGCCTAGCAAGTACAGAAAGTATGTGCCAAATCAGCTCAGCAGAAACAGGGAGCTCATCCCCCGGATCCACCTGCGTCTAATGGAGGAAAAGGTTGCTTTTGGTTCGCGATTAACCTCCTATCCCCCACCTGGGGACACGCCACCTAGTCTTCCGACTAACCGGCTCGAGATCCCTCATATGAGGGAGATCCGTGGATCAGGAAGGGTAATTAAGGGCAAACCAATACCAAGATCTACCACCGTCCTGGCACCAGACTAGTCGAATAGTGATAAATCTCCCTTCGATCCACAAGGGCGGTGACTGCCTATAGTGGTGACGACCTGGGGCAGACTTCACGCAGGCCGACCTCGAGATTCCACGGATCCGCAGTGCCTGAACCAGCAAAACTCCGAAAGAATGGGAATTGTGCTGCGGCCCGCACAACCAGTGAAGATAGAGCAAGCGAGTATCCAAGTAGCTACAGATTAACATGCATACAAACGCCTGGTAATCAATGAACACAAAACTGTAACCAACATTCGCATTGAACCCAAAGAAAATTCCTCAACTGTAAAATTTTTGATGATTTTTGCGAATAATAAAGACACTTATAGCAAAACAGTGCGACACACATCAGTAGTACGCGCTGAACCAGTAAAAATATTGCAGTAGAGAGCTGAAGACCCATACATGAAATCTTCCCAAACCCACGAAAACTTAAAAGAAATCTCCCAAGTGAGGGCAGCAACGCTACTTGCGATACACGAACAAAACAACATTTATCAGCAAACTATCCAGAACAATTATGAAATCGTACTGAGGTATAACATCAGATTACAGCTTCAGCTTGGTACGTCTCCAATGGCGCCTCTTGGCGTTATACTTCATCTGAAATTACGGCATTAAAATCTGACCTTGGGTAGTAGACTCAAGATATAGCACATCACCAGCGTTATAACGTAGGCAATGCAATGACGTATATGCTATACATAGAACAATATTTGTTGTAGACGTAAGAAACCATAGCAACACAGGATTACTCGGTAGGGTTGCCCACTTCTCTATTTCACCTTCGTATTATCAGCACAGCACACTAGGTACTGCCCTAGAGCAAAGAAGGTAGTGCCGGAGACTGTCTATGTATAGTCCTCACCGTATTGCCTGTTTTCATTCGTGCCCACTGAGGCATAGGTCGATTCTGCTTCTGCTTTTTAGCTAGCTTCTGCTTTATGAAAAACTTCTTCAAGGCAGCCATATCCTAAAGGATATAGGAAATACGGCCATAAACACAACGAGAAATCGAGAGGAAATCACTCGAACTTGCGAGTAAAGAATATCACAAAGGAACATGTGTCTACTCGAAACACAAAGTTAGAAACAAAACAACGAAGTGAAGAAATTCATTTATTTAATCATAACTGTCCAAAGATATACAATAAATACAACTACTGTCTAGCAGCAACTCTAACTAGCCTTGCCTTTTAAATGTTTTCTATGGAAAATATCTTCAGCATATGACTGTGTTGGCAACCGCTTCATATGTCGATATGGGCGTTGGCCCAGGTCTGGTTGGGGGAACAATTTCATCAACTTATTGAACTGCGCAGTTGTCAACGACTTTCCATGCACGTCTCCAAGCGTTCCCTGAAGTTAAACATCAATTTAAGGTAAACCTCTGGAATGCAAATTAGAAAAGGATAAAGGGTAAAACGCGTAGATCAATTCCTGAGGGATGTGCTATGCATTCACTTCACTAAGCATCGTTGGAGGTGATTGAATGCATATTTGGCCTTTACAATAACTCGAAGTGGCCTACCGATGTATCCAGCCAGTGCTGCTATCCTCTCAGACAGGAATCGTGCCAACTTACCTACACCGGAGAGATGAAAGGCTTTGTGGGCCTTGGAAAGGGGGATCGATTCCATGTGTACTGCAGGGCACCTCTGACAACTGCGCTACATGCGAAATGAAAGATTACCTAGCACTTACCCTTAAATATCTAATCTGTTTTGGAAGAACCTACAAAAACCTTCAATTTTTTTTTGGTAAATTCGATCAAAATAAGCTTATTCCTACACATTGGCCTAAAGTTCGAATTGCCTTGAAAGCTCTAAAACAGTGCTCTCTAACCAAAGTAATTGATAGATAGATTGATAGATAGAAGTAGCTGAGATATACGCAAAGCGAAGGACCCGGATGGTGTAGTGGTGAAGTGCGCTGCTCCTCGGTAAGGACAACAGCGCGTGTTCGTTCTCCACTGCATACACCTGTGGTCCGGAGTTTTGCAAATATCTCAGCATTTCATACAAAGTAATTGATTCCATTTGATTCTGGCACCTATTCAGTTTCTTCCAGATCTTTTGGATAATACTCGATCTTCACATATTCAATGTTACACATATTTGAACTAATAGCCGGAACTACTAGTGCACCAACTTACCTACTTGGATACCTAGATGGCCCGTTTTCACTGGTTGCGCGAGCTCCACCATGATTTCCACTTTTTCGGAGTTCTGATGGCTTAGGCGCTGTGGTTCCCTGCAGACCCGATGTGAATCTAGCCAAAGTCTGCCCCAGGTCTTCACTACCACAGGCAGTCGCAGCCCTTGTGGATCGGAGGGAGATATGCTACCATGCGACTAGTTTGATCTCAAGAGGGTTGTGGATCCTGTTACTGGTTTGTTCTTAACTGGGTTTCCTAATGGAAACGCCAGACTCTTTCTCAGCTTGGGAAACCCTGCTGGGGGCTGAATCCAGCCGCTGTACATTGTAGCCTAACACTCAGAAACACTTCCCAGCCACGATGAGTGGGATAAACTTTGGGAATGCACTAATACACGGCGACCAAACTGATTGACGACTTTACAATATACGACAGTAATCCGGGATGGATATGAAATGCACAATGTCTCATTATTTGTATGTAACACAACCATGTAGGCCGTAAACCATAGGCATAGACTAAGTAACAGAAAAATGAAAATGCAAAAAGCACTGAAGCAGTACCTTTGTCGCTGCCTCTTGGTACTGCTTTGCAATACGCTCCGACTCATGAACGCAGTCCATGTACGCAGAATGTTGCTTTGCACACGGCTTGTCGTCAAACTCCCATTTTTTCAAACATCCGAAGAGCGCTTGGAGCTCCTGCGTGCATGAAGATGCTGAAATCGGATGACACACACATACTGCCAAGCGTGAAACAAATAAAACGTTAGATCTTCGAAGAAATCCAGGGTCTTAAGTGAAAATATTAACAAGCTACAAACTTCAAACCCACCTAATGCCTGTGCTCTTTTAGGCTTGCAGGAATTCTTCAGAGCAAGAGGCAGAATCTCCGAAAAGACCGTTACTTTCGGATATATACATCTACCTTTAGCAAGAGCATTCTCCTTCAAGAGCGGCGACGATAGGAACATCGACCAACGCTCGTCAGAAAAGCGGTTGCTTTTCAGTTTTGTATACGGTAGTTATCGTTTAAGGACTAGCAATCTCTTCACTTTCCTCCCTTTAAATTTTGGTTTTGTGCTAACTTTAATCCTTGCTTTGAAAAAGCTATACTTTCGTGTTAAGCGTGTATCTATTCATCCACGTCTTCCTATCCATATATCTTCACGTCCTATACTATACTGTTTTACTTCCAACTTCAGTTGGATAACTGCGTTTCCGGAAAGGCTTGGGATTGGTTATACTTAGATGTTTAAACCGATTATGAAAATGTGATCGATTGTTTTTACCAGTTAATATGACGTTGCCAATCAGACCTGTGTTTGGCGAAGAAATCTACCTAGTACTTTGTAGTCATTCAGAGCTCAGTGATGACGGTTGAAAGCAGGACGCTGTCCGCTGCGGAGCGGCGGGAACGTCGATTGAAGCGCATTCTTGGTAATAGTGAGGAAAGAATGAAGAAAATATTGTCAGGACCGGACGGAGGTATTGCAGTTTTGTCTTTTTGGCGTTTTTCTGTCTACCACGCAAAGAGTTTTCCCTAGATTTTCTACGTAGTACCTAAATGTGTTTCAACTTAACTATCTTGACAGGTTCTGAACTGTGTAGATTCATTGAATTATAGATGTGAGCCAAAAGAAAGCATAATCGTGTGGGCTTGTTACTACGACAAAATATTTCTATGCCTTTTTTATAAGACCCTAGTTTACTTACGATATTACGCTGTTTCTGACTTGCTGAAAGCCGTTAGGCGATGTCGTATTACTGACGTTCGTATTTCGAGCGGAGAAGTGACTTTACAAACGATATTTCACTCACATGAACACCAGCATGTGCTCAAATATGCCTCAACTTCTTAAGCACTTCAGTTATTGATTGGTTATTGAGAAATGCGCAGTTCTATAAAAACCAGCATCGTTGTGAGTGTACCAAAGGGTAAAACCACCCTGTTGTAAGTGTTATATGTCGTAGCTTTGTTTTAGTTTTATTTACTGTGTCGTTAGTCCCAACGGTTTACGGCCTCACTGTGGCCGGGCGGTGTTCCTGAGTATCGGACTGCGATGTACAGCGAGAGATTCTTTCCCTTGGCAGGCCTCCCAAGCTGAGAAGGAATCCGGCGTTTCCATCAGGCAGCTTAGCTAAGAGTAAAACAATACCACAATCCACACTGTCCTGGTATCAAACTATTCGCATGGTGGCAAATCTTTTTGTGAACCCGTCAGTGGGATTGAACACCCTTAGTAATTCGTTTTCTGTGTTTGGAATTATGTTCCTCTCACATCTTAACTCGAGGTTCTCCTAAAGGTTGTTTTCATTTTGAGTCCAGTCTCACTCAATTATTCTTCTTCACCACTGGCTTATATTGACGAGTGGTAATGATGAAGGTGACGGTGATTTTTTGTGTATTTACTGTGCATTTTTGACCAACGGTGGAGAGGAGTATCTCATTAGTCGAACAGATGTTCAGATATTATTAGTTTTGTGAGCTGGTTAGCTGCTTCGTTGGAAACGTTTTCAGAAAACCTCTCCGAGGGTGGTGGGAATGGTTTGCCAAAGTAAACTGTTTTGGTCGATTTGTCGCTGATATATGCGGTGCTCTTATAGATGGTCTCCTGATACCTTTCTTCGCTTTCGTTTCTACGTTAAAAGATTTACAAAGCAACCAAAAAGGCAGTTATTTGTTTAGTAGCTTTTGTTGTATTGTTGTGAGATTCCGAATACAGGTGGAGTATGCTTGCACTTCGGCGGCGGCGTCTGTGAATTGTATTTTGTGTGCTTTCCATGTTCGGTTTTGAAGGTGAATTTAATGCGGTATAACTTTCTTTAAGTCCAACTCTGTTGTCCGGAGTGATGCTGATCATCGTGAACACGATACAGGTTCGAGCCTACTCCGGGCTCAGCAATCCTCCGCCGTCGGGAAATTGGTATCGGACTTGTCTGAGAAAAGTTCACTCCCTGGATTCCATGTGGGAACGCTTTCTCCTGGCTATCACAGGGCTTCAGTGGGATTGACTGGGCCAGCATTCTACAAAATTCAAGATTAAATGAAGATCTTCGAACAGCAGCCGAAACCACATGTAAAAAGTTGGAAGATGTTCGTAGATGATGGATGCGAGGAAACGAATCGAATGGTAGGAACTGTTGGGATCCGTACTGTAGATGTGAAAGACGGATCGTGTTTAAAAAAATTGTCCAGAAAACCAGTACAATTGCTCCCGTATTACAAACGTTTTATAAACTGAGAAATTCGTAAAAAATGGGATTTATGCATCCAACAATGTTATCGAGGACGCTTTGAGTCATTCCTGGTTACCCGCTTCCTATCCACAAATTCCTTATCTATGAATAGGAAGTACAGGTGCAGTATTTCGTGAATTCACGGTGCTTTTGTGCCTTTAGATATTGTTCTTATCATAAAGCCTATTCCAATTTTAATTTATTTGAAGTAACTAACTCGTTTCCAAAACTGAAAATTTCTTTAAGAATTGTGGAAAGGCAACTTGTATGGTTGAACAGCTAGTTTCTCTAGGGTATACGGAAACCATTCACGCTTCAGGAGGAGAAAACTCTAGCATACGTTAGTATCGAGGATTTCTTACATTGGCTGTGGGAGACAGCTGATAGCTTCATTTGGAACTAGGCATTAGAAGTGAAGTGCTGGTAAAAGAATCAGAAAAATCTCATGTTTTGTTTGTTTCTAGTTTGTTTGCGAACAACTTTAGAGAGTCGAATGATTGTTTACTCTGAACATAATGAGCTCTCCAGCTTTTCATTTTTAAAGTTTGAAGTGTCCGAAACCCGTCTTTTGCGAAGCTGATAATTTTTTCGATAACTGGAACATTTGAGCACTTGAAAATGTGGTCAGCTTGCTGAAGATACTTTTCTCTATCTACTTAGTACTGGACGTGTTCCTTTTAAGCAGTTCTTTAGCTTCTAGAGTGGTTTAGGAGAAAAGTTCCGGAAAGATCACCATATTGTAACTTTTAAAACTCTGAACGAAATTCTATTGGCCACAAAAGGCAAAAACACATTTCGGCACGTCGTCATGTTCTAATCGACGAAATGACGCTTGCTTAGTTGCTTTCATTGCTGAAAACGAAAAGACGAACAGAAAAAAGTGCATGAAATGCGTTTGATGAGCTACAAAATATCGGGAATTCAGACATCCTCAAATAACACAGCTTCTAACCTGTAGGCACCTAACTTGCAGATTCTAATATTTTTACTGCGATTCATAAAGTTTTCTCTGAGCTTTAATGCCTATTGGACCAAAAGTGTTGCGGAAAGAGAGCATTTTACTTGGTATTATTCATTATTAGAATACAGAGAAGTCGTTCGTTTTATTATTTTTGGCCGAAGAGTAATATCGAGTGTCCTGTTGAGAATCCTTGGTGTAGTTTTGGAGATTATTTGCTTGGAACGATGTCGAGCTACTTCCTATCTTCCACTATCATGTCTGCAGGTTTTTGGTTGTACCGATATTAACGATATTCGGCATAATGCAAGCCTCCTATACATTTATACATGAATGTGATTGTGTATATATGTATATACACATCAATTCGACCTATCAAAAACAAAGACCATCACCTGAGCTCGCTTGAATCTCAGAGCAATATGAAAGAAAAGTCTTGATTCTCGTTTAAACCTTGGGTACCCACTACACATGGATGCCGTATGACTGGCTGGCTCAAAATCCCTCACGTAAGTTATATCCATGAGATTCATAATACTACGATTGTGATTTAAAAAATTTTAGTAGTTTAAGATGAACACCGATTGCCTCCGATGTTGGAAGGTGGTGAATATCGGTCTTCGCTTTTTTCTAGTGGCGAGGATGACAGCTGTGCTGTTGGTTATGAAAATTGTAAAGGTTCGTATTCATATTCCTATTCTTATTTCTGTCCAAGATTCTAGAACTTTTGATAAACCACCAGTTTGAATGGTTTCGTTGTATACTGTGTAATTTCAGATTCAAACTTGTCGAACCTTAAGAGTTCGTCTTGTTGCCGATATCCGGTTTTAGAAAGTGTCAAGAGAATGGACGGACCTCTAAATTTATTTTTCGGTCAATTATTTATATAGTTAATTGATATCTTAATTGTGGATCAACAGCTTTATGTATCCAGTAGCCATAGCACTTCAGTACTCAAGGTCGAATATAAATGAAGAACAGGGGAATCATCGGCATAAAAAAGACGCTCAATTGTATTGAATTGGGAACCAGTTCTTCTGTTTAACTCCGTTTCGAGCAATTTCAGACTGCTAATAGGATTCTTTGAATTTTTCTATAGTTTTCATTACTCCCTTGGTCACAGTTCTTTGTGATTATAGGGTTTTTTGTGCGTATACTAATGGCATATGGTATTGTGTTCAACGTCCTCCTTCCTTGGATCCTCATCTTTTTCGGCTCTCATCTCTGTAGTTTTGTAGGTTTTCCTCTTTCATTTTCTTTATCTCATTAGGCTTAAAGTTGCTAAGGTAAGTGAAAATTCTAGAGGCACGAACTTCCATATTTTCATGGTTATTATTGGAGTTACCCCATCTTCACATTCAGGTTTAATAAATGCGGTGTTGTTAATACTTCTAGTGTATTTTCTTTTTTAAGGAAAAAGATTTTTAAATTGATAAGGTCGTGTCCTTTTCCACTTTGCAGCTTTAAAGTTGTGTACTATAAGAATCTTGAGCTTACTGAAAATCCTCATCAACCATTTAGGCTAAGGAAGCACCCAAATTTTCTAGCGATGTAATGGACATGTTACGATCTGGAAATTGTTCGACACTAGAACGCATTTTCAGGCGTGGACGTATGTTTTTCCTTTGTGTTATATGAACCTATAAGCTATTATCTGATCTTCTGCATGAGTTGCTGATATAAACTTCAGTACTGTTTTTTAGTACTTCATTCTACTTTACTTTTACTTTCCATTTTCTACTATTTTTAGTACTTTTTTCTTTACTACTACATCTC